CTATAGGTAGGCTGAGAGTCAGTTGATGCAAGCTTGACTAACGTGACCTGCCAGAACTAACGCTACACTTGATATGTGTGTTTTGGTTAGAAACAATGGGTCTCATTCACTAACAAATGTATGCACTGCACAAAGGAGAACTTCTAACCAAAAATAAAAAAAATAAAAAAAATAAACAAATCTGTCTAATTCACAATATGAGCATACACACATGATTTTGTTTTTAACCTTGTTTGAATTTTAAAGAATTAGGATGATTCTAAGTAAGCAATGAGTGCCCAAGGTTAGTAGATTATATAAAACCATCTCCATATTTGCGCTTTCCGAACCTTTCCTTTCCAGCCTTTCACCACACTCAGCAAAATTATGCTCTCTAAAGACGCGCCTGAAAGCATGCACAGCAGGATTCTCAATCGATGCCAAATGTGACATCCTCAAAACTAGCTAAAAAAAAAACTAAACTTTTTTTTTTTTTGTATACAGACCCAGTTTACAAACCTCTCACTTTAACCAACTGTACACACGTGTATCTGCATAGTTACTCAGAGAAACCTCGCAGCTTGAGCCATAATGCAGCTGTATATGATGAAATATATTTAATGTGACTACATATGTTTAAAATGCTATCTTAACACGCTGAAGGAATGAGTGCTTTATTGGCTGAACTAAGTCGAATGACCATAGAACAGAGCTTCTCAAGAACAGAGGCCTCAAAAGGAGAGAGGAAGCCTAACTACGTTCTTATTGAGGCCAGCATCCAAGAAGGCTCACAGAGAGCCTAACACTCAGATCCAACTGGCCCGCAAAGCTCTGCAGAGTGGAGGCCTAATACAACACCTCTCAAATGAGAGACGGCCTAGCAACACTTCTTACTACCTAGCCAATACCTAGCTGAGCTCTAGGAGCGGAGGCATCAACATGACAACTCTCTAAAATGAGAGGATGCCTAACTATACTCCGCACTCAGGACATCTTATAAGGAGGCTCACAGAGGGCCTACAACTCACAGATGCTGTCCTAGCGGAGCTCTGTCGAGCGAAGGCCTCAATGAAGATAACTCTCTGTAGCGAGGCCTGACGACGTTCGCAGTAGGTGACCAAGCTCTATGAGTGGAGGCCTCAGCATGATGACTCTCTAAAATGCGAGCAGAATATGGATTTCCCCAAAATCTCTGCGCCTCAGTGTAGAAGACTAGTACGAGCTGGACGGTTATGTCCCGACAAAAAGCGTTCATCAAGGCAACCACGAGGGGGCTCATGCTTTCATGGCAGATCTAATCTTTCCGTGGCGCGAGACATGATGTCCAACAACTCGTCATATGCGTGGCAGGTAGCTGTGAGTGCTCAGAGACATCACCATTTCACATAACATGTGTGTCATCAGTCGTCAAGAAACGCTAACACACTTCCTAAATTTTGCAGTGCTAGTGCTTGCCATAGTTTGCCTATTTAGACACTGAAATAGACAAGAAAGAGGATGACGTATTTCAAAGGTGCCCTTTTATACTCTCGGCTGCACCAGTTGTGATGTCATAGGCTGCTGCCTGTCAATGTTAAGTTCATTGTCGTATTTAGACTCATGCTTCAGACACCGGTCATGCCGGAGGCATTCACCATAGTGCCCTCTAGGGGACGCAGAGCAAGTTCTCATTTGAAAGGGAACTAAGGTTGCTGCAGGAAGTCGTATTAGTGACACCAGAAGGGGGCGCTCAGCCTGTAATCTTTGTGAGACCAAAAAGCCCCACTGTACTGTACAAAGCCACATCCATTTGGATGAGATCCTGACTCCTACTGTTTGTTTAAAATCCCAATGAGTAACACTTGGCACTATTGGCCACATCCTTACTAATCCATAAAATCATTTAGAATAATCTATGAATCACTCTTGAAATGTTTGCAATGGCATACTAAAACCCTACTAATAATACTACTATTTCCGCAGTATGTAAACTGCACATATGTACATTTTGCGTATGCAGAGGGTGACAAATGCTGAATTTGGAATAGCATAGCATACTCTCTTACTATTTCTGCAATTTCTTTTTATGGCAAAAATAAAAGGTTTAGTATGCTAGTATTATAGAATTCAGCCAGACACAATTGCCAGAATGAGTAGAATACAAAAAAGCATACTGAATGAAATATTGTATCCCACCATGCAATGGAATATATCTAACCTTTAATATCCCTAGCGTGATTTTTGAATTATTATAATTTTTTTAATTATTTAATAGGACTGCCAAACATTTTAACATTTTAAAATTGGTTGCCAAATGACACATAAATAAATAAATAAATAAATAAATAAATAAATAAATATCAAGTAGTTGGTTAACTGAATAGAAATGTAGCATACGTTAAGTTTGGAATAATGCTAATTATTAATTTAGTATTACATAGTAGTGTTTCTTTCCAAAAATAGCCTCTTTTTCTTTGCACTATATCAGTGGTTCTTAATATTTTTTTACCCCAAAGGCCCCCCATTTTCGACAATGATATCCAAAGGCCTGACTTTCCTGATTTACTTGATAAAGAATAAGCATAAAGATTTTACAAAATAGTTTTTAATCAATTTCTACCCAAAATATATTTTAGGGCTTGGCAGAACTAGACAAATGTATGTATATTCTCTATAAAACTGCACAGATTTGTAAGATTTTATTAGTATACATGAATTTTGCAGGTCTAGAAAATTACTTTCAAAATTAGGCTACCTCATAATAGTAAGGTGGGGTGCCATGGGAATTCCAGTTCTTCAAAGAAAAAAGAAAACAGATAGAAAGAAAAATAAACTTTATCTTTTAGTTGTTTTGTCTTATTTTAAACCATTTTAAGTCATAATAAAGTCCCATTGAAAGTTTGTTGACTCTTTCTATAATGGGCCCCGGCCCTCTGGTTGAGAACAGCTGCACTATACAGTAGCAGCTGATGCATAATTGCAGGTGGATGCTGCACACTTGTAGTAATTGAGAAGTTTCTCATTGTAAAGGTTTTGAATTGAGTGCGACATACAGTGAAAACAAGGAATTATTATTAAGGACCCTTAAAAATGGCTATTCCTGTACAGCTATAATCAGCTGTTCCTTCATCTTGGCTGAGCTTTCAATGCTTGCAGCATTCTGAAAAGTTGAAATGTTTTTATCTCGATGCGGCGTGGACGCGCGTGGAAAAAATGAGCGCGTCGCGACCGCGTCCGCTTCCATTATGAGAGCACCTGCCGCTCGTCTTCATTTGAAATAACGAACTTGAGCACGCAAAATACGCGATATGTGAACGGCCCCTAATGTGCTTCTTTGTACAGTGTTAACACATTGCATCTTCCAGGCTGTGTCAAACATCTGTTCTCGCTAATAATAATAGGTACATCTGCTGAGGTGATTAAAAACAATGTGATTGTCAGACAGAGCCACAGCATGGAAGAATCTCAACTAGGTAATAATGACCAGGTGCAGGATAGAAGAAGACAGTGTTGCTCGTCAGCCCTTATCACAGCCCTAGTGCACTATTCACCCTTCCCATTTCATCCGCTGCTCTGTTGTGGCTTTGGACGATATAGTTTGATTGAGCTGTCCTGCTACAATGGGGAATCAAATGAGAGCAAACAAGATAAAGAGTCAGGTCATGCACTCCATCCCTCCATCTTAAAAAAAGGCATGAGGGCCTATCACCCTTCAGTGTTGTTAGCATTCAAAGAACCATCGTTCAGACAGACATATTAGAGGGCAGGGAGTGCTGTCCTTCAATTCACCATTTATATCACAGGGGCACTCGAAGGAGATAACAATTACCCTAAAAAGAGCGATACTGACTTATCTGATGCTTTACAAACTGCAACAAAATTGGGAGGAAAAAGTTAACTTTTTCCCCCCTCATTTCTCAGTCAAATAATTTTCATGGTACCTGATCTTACTTGCATGATTATTCATGAGGTAATTATGATTATACATTGTAAGCATTTCCCGAGCCCTGCCATGTCTGTCTGCACTTGTTAACATCTGTTTTATTTGCTCTGAACATCAAAAACAAATCACACTCCATGAGCATTATTCCCCTCTTTGTCTCATCACAGCTAAACAATCACTCAAAACAATGCCAAAGAACAAAATATTTACAGAGTAGAGGTAATTAGTTTTGACTGCATAATGAAAATGGCGTTATTATTATTATTATTATTAGACTAAATATGAGTGTGTGTCCTGGAGACACTAACCTTGCAGTTCATTTAGTAAAATCAGTGGTTAAGACGCTGTTGTGTACCAACAGTTTTTGTCTTTTTTTTTGTCTGCCAACTTCAAAAACATAACTAAAAAACTGATTAAAAAATGAGTTCTGATATAAGAATATAATAACTTGAGTTTGCATGGATGTTTGCAAGGAAAGGGAATTCTAAGGCCTTGAACTGTTGTTGGTCTGTGTATCCAATGTATGCAGAAGATAATTTGCCATCCACCATTATTTTCACAAAAGGAAAATGAACCATTTGGAAGAAAATAACTAGGAATATCTTTCCCTCCCACACTTTCTTTCACCTTATACACCTATAACATTTGTATTAATTTAGGATATTCTGTTTAATTTTCAAACATGTACTCTTAAATTATGACAGTCCCCTAACAAAGATGTTTCTCTCAAAGACATTTCCCACATTTAAAAAAAAAAAGGCTAAAATATGGCTTTACAAGTTAAAATAGAGGAGAAAATAGCAACTCACACAAAACGAGGCCTCAAATGAGATATAGACAGCTTATTTTACTAGCCCACTTTATATTTTCACACCTGTGCACTTGTACCATCCTCAGTCCTCATCATAACCCCCATCCCTGGTTAAATTTGTTCTCCTCAATTTATGAAAACTTAATTGCTATGCTGTAAAATCACTCTGAAACATAATGATTGTTTCTCTTTCCTTTGGGCATCATCAGTGGGGGCAATTATGACTTCATGCCTGAAGCAGCATCAGTATACCACCCATTAGAAAGGCAATAATGTCTAATACTGTACTTCTGAACTCAATCAAATGACTTATCAGCAGTAATGAGACCGCATGGATTTATCTTTTGTGATAGGAAAAGCATTAGACCCTATGAAATTTGTTTTAACGAAATGCTATACTTTGAAACCCACTTTACAGATGAGTTTCAACTTGTTTGCTGTTAAAGGTATAATGCTGTGATGTTGGCAAAAAAATAAAAAAAGTCTGTTGAACGTGAACATGGGAGCATGGTGTCTCTTGTCTTCTAACATCAAAAGTATTTGGAGGGTGCCAACTGATCAAAGCTATGATTGAGTGTCATGGAACAATGTGCCATCCTTCAGTGAGTTGAGAAAGGAGAATAAATTATTTTTCTTGGCAGAACTGAAGACAATGGCGTATTGAGTAATTGTGTAAGGCGTGCGATTCATGTCCCATTGAAAGGCGCATAAATGTTTCGTTATTTCATAAAAGTGGCCAACTTGTGGCTTTCAGGTGTGCCATATTGTCAGCTGATAAAGCATTTATGTTGCAACAAAACCTTCCCATTGGCACCTTAATTTTAGGCTTCGGGATTGTAGCCAAACATCTACTAAAGGTCACTTTCCTCTAAGCTATCATCTGCCCAAAGCAGCAGGCAGTTCAACAGATGTCAATTATTAGACCCTGGTCTGCAGTAACCACAGGCAATAGTGGTCTCTGCCCTTCATTCCAACCCTGAACACCAGCTATCATTCACCATTGCTTTTTTTCTGTGTCAAACTCTCCATCCTGCGTGAATGCACCCAAAATCGTGTTAGCCTGAACACCACTGACAGATCAGTGGCACAGGTGACGGAAGAAGATTGCATGACAGTTTTGGGCGAAACTGGCTACTGTGCTCCTCAGAAAGCTTCTCCTAGTGGCAGGTTAGACACTCCTTTGACTCCACTTATCACTGTGTTCAGAGCTTATGCCACTAGATATGGAAGGGCTAGCCAGTTTAATTAACCTTCCACAGTATTAGAGTTGCCACTGGAATGGGCAGTTGTCCAGTGTCTGACAGTGGTTGTCAATCCCTATGCTCAATCCCTTGGTACACATTTCGTTTGGTTATTAACGGAAGTGACAACTGCATTCTACAACCAAATTAACATTACTTTTGCTAATGAAAGCAGTGACAGATCTTTTCTTCTGTATTGTGATGTACATCTGAGTAAAACAGATTATCGGATATATATATATAGGGGTGGGGTGGGGGACTTCAGTTCATTGTACATCACCAGACAGAAGTCTGTTGTTTAATGAGTTAACGTAAGGTTGAGTTATGACATTAAAAGATGGGATAAATAAATAAATAAATAAATAAATAAATAATAAAGTATAAATGTTAAAATTATTATTGACTAGGAAATGCTTTTTAGTAGTTTTCACTGTCCAGTTCAAGTTAGCTAATGTAGTTAATTAAAAAAAAATTGATTGAAGTGTTACCAAAAAGTCAAACATATGCATGGATGAATCATTCACAAAAAGATCAAGATGCATTTGGAAATGCAAAGATGCATTTAGAAAATGGATAAGATAAATTTCTCTTTCAGCCAACTTTAAAAAAGCGTGTCCTCTCAGTACTACGGTGTTGCCAGATTTCACTACAAAACCCAGTAGCCTATATTTGTTATAACAATACTTGCCTTACCCAAAATAAATATAAATAATCCATGATACTGTCCATGGCTGTATTCTGGAAATAAAAACAACAAAATGAGCATATAAATAAGAACAAAACTGTTCATATTTATAAAATTCCAAAGCTGCTTATAATAAGCAGACATGGCAACATGGAATAGAATGTTATTTAAAAGCAACAACTTATATAGAGCATAAACAGAATGGCCAGCAGAGATTTACAAAATACATTTTTGGTCGCTAGTATGACTTTGATCAAAATTAGTGGAGACCAAATGGCATAAACTGCTAACATGTTTTCAATATCGATACTTGGCAATATGCACATGACCATCGATGGAATAATACAGTGGCTACGTTTACATGCACAATTTTTGGTTCAATCAGACTGAATTCATTCCGATTGATGAATCTGAATGTAGTGTTTACAAGAACGCTAAATAAAGTGATCGGGTTGATGTGCGCGTTTATATGTCACAAGCTTCAAATCGGAATTAATTTTTTTATTTGACATGCGCACACTGCACAAATATAGAGTTTCTCACTGTTTGCACATAATAACCACTCCCCTACACGGTTTATTTATTTCTTTTTAACAGCAGAATTCATATTTATTAAGTTATGGATAAATTACGCTGTGCCGTGCTGCTCATATTTATCACGCAGTAAAAATGCCCCTCCGCGCGCCCAAAATGGGTTGCATGTGGATGAGAATACAAAACAAGGACTGGTGGGAGGTTGTCCTGCTCCACTTCACAGTTGCCGGGGTAACACACAACACTTAAGTGTCATGAAAGACCAGCAATGTCTACCCATAATGCCACCCACAACCGCTGAATCAGCTAATTGTGCGCCTGTAATGGTAATACAGCAAGCCATATATTTGTTATTTAATACAAGAGAACTTGCTATAACAACCCCTTTGAAGGTTTAGACATCTACACATGTTGTCCTACATGTCTACAAAATCACACTGGCCCAAATTCCACTTATAGCTATATACAGTTGTGGTCAAAATTTTGCATACAATTTGCAGTATCTGCAAAATGTTAATGATTTTACCAAAATAAGAGGGATCATACAAAATGTATATTTCACATAAAAGACGTTTACATACAGTCCACAAGAGAAAACAATAGTCGAATTTATAAAAATTACCTGTTCAAATGTTTACATACGCTTGATTCTTAATACTGTGTTGTTACTTGGATGACCCACAGCTGTTTTTTTGTTGTTGTTGTTTAGTGATAGTTGTTCATGAGTCCCTTGTTTGTCCTGAACAGTTAAGCTGCCTGCTGTTCTTCAGAAAAATCCCCCAGCTCCCACAAATTCTTTGATTTTCCAGCATTTTTGTGTATTTGAACCCTTTCCAGCAATGACTGTATGATTCTGAGATGCATCTTTTCACATTGGCTATGTTTACATGCACAATTTTTGGTTCAATCGGACTGAATTCATTCCGATTGATGAATCTGAATGTAGTGTTTACATGAACGCTAAATAAAGTGATCGGGTTGATGTGCACGTTTATATGTCACAAGTTTCAAATCGGAATTGATTTTTTTTTTTTACATGCGCACACTGCACAAATATAGAGTTTCTCACTGTTTGCACATAATAACCACTCTCCTACACAGTTTCTTTATTTGTTTTTAACAGCAGAATTAATATTTATCAATTTATGGATACATATACATATAAACCGCTGTGCCGTGCTGCTCATATTTATCACGCAGTAAAAATGCCCCTCCGCGCGCCCAAAATGGGTTGCATGTGGATGAGAATACAAAACAAGGACTGGTGGGAGGTTGTCCTGCTCCACTTCACAGTTGCTGAGTGAAAGGACAGTTTTATAATGACAGGACATGCATTTATACAACACTTTATTCAAAAGGAAGCGTATGACGTTCCGTGCGTCATACGCCATTACGCTATTTCTGCGTACTTGCACATGCACAGTCCTTTCAGTTTCGGGGTTCAATCCGATCGAGTGTTTGCATGCACTCTCAATCATATTAGAAAAGGAATAAACCACCCCCTTCAATCTGATTTAAATTTCATTCCGATCGAGCTCAATCGGATCAATTAAGGTGTTTACATGAAGGTTTTTCAGTCCGGTTGAGCCGTCAATCCGATTACAAACGGATTATTTGGTTGCATGTAAACGTAGCCAATGTGTCACAGTGGCCTGCCAGGACGTATCATTGTTGGAGAGTGGTATGAATGTGTTCATATCAAATACTGTAAACAGGGCAAATAATATGCATGTACATTAATCTATGTCTTCTGTTCACTTCACCTGCTAAAAATGAGTAGCTAAGAATAACTAAGATGAGTGGCAACTTTTTTTGTAACATGTGACTCCAGACTCCCTGCACCTGGCTGCATCACCATGAGACAAAATAACCAGTACAAAAAGACACAGAAAATGGAAACCAACAACAGACACATACATATGGACAAAAGTATTGTGAGACACCCTTAATTATTGAGTTCAGGTATTTCAATCAGAACCATTGCCACGGGTGTATAAAATCAAACACCTAGCCATGCATTTACAAACATTTTTGTTTGTGTCGTTCTGAAGAACTCACGGTACTGTTATAGGATGCCAACTTTGCAATAAGTCAGTTCAGAAAAGTTCATCCCTGCTAGATATTACACAGTCAACTATAAGTGGTATTATTGGAAAGTGGAAGCGTTTAGGGACAGCAGCAACTCAGCCACAAAGTGAAAAACCATGTAAAGTCATAGAGTGGGGTCACAGAGTCCTGGGGTCAGAGCTTTCGCTGTAATAATTAATGCAATGTCATCAATGTCATCCAATTATATACTTTAGAATTATGAATTGAAGCAAAAATCATACATTATTAACACATTTACTCTCTCTAAATATTAAGAATATTAGGCTTAAAAGTCCTGACTCGATTCAGTTTTCAACATATTCCGTGCCTTACAGAAACCCATGAATTTGAAGCACAAAAGCACTGAACACCGCAATCTAAAACTACACCTTATCTCTGTGTTTGACAGCGCACTGTGTGAAACCGCTGCCACTCTCTGTCCTTAAAAAAATTAAATAAAAAATAACATGCCTCACCCTTCACACAGATTAACTAATGTGTGCTAAATTCAGTCAATCGGCAGAAGTCATTTTCACAAAAAGCTAAACATTTACATTGTGTAAAATGGATGGACTCCCCTAATACAAATCACCTAGTCTTAATGATATATTTTGGCTTTAAAACTGGTAAATTCACTGAAAAACAACAACTTTGGGCACTGTTCATTTCGTTATAATCACGGAACCTAATTATCAAATGTACATTTTGTCTTTTCAGGACGTTCTCACTTGTCTTTTTAATGCTTAGGGTACACCTTTAGCATAGTTTTTCAATGTGCAGGGTACTTTATTGCTGTTTTTCAGTCCGGTTGAGCCGTCAATCCGATTACAAACGGATTATTTGGTTGCATGTAAACGTAGCCAATGTGTCACAGTGGCCTGCCAGGACGTATCATTGTTGGAGAGTGGTATGAATGTGTTCATATCAAATACTGTAAACAGGGCAAATAATATGCATGTACATTAATCTATGTCTTCTGTTCACTTCACCTTTTGGATAAAAAAAAAAAGTTATTAATAATTGATCTCTTCTGCCTTTATCTGACTCTGCACAGTGGGGAGTGTCTGTTTGGCAGACATGGGAAGATATATGTTTTCAGAGTATTGAATAATTTCCTCACGTTTTTTTGCCAAACTTTGTGAACCAGCTCATACCTCCCATACCACCACAGAACGGTCTCAAATGTTCACATTCACATTTATTTGTATAGTGTACAATACATATCTTTTCAAAGCAGCTTCACAGAAAATGCAAATTTCTACTTCAGAGTTAAGAGTAATGTGTTATCAGAGGTGACCTAATTATCAAATGTACATTTTGTCTTTTCAGGACGTTCTCACTTGTCTTTTTAATGCTTAGGGTACACCTTTAGCATAGTTTTTCAATGTGCAGGGTACTTTATTGCTTTTAGTTGTTTGCCTAATGCATCCGATCATGATGCATGTAATGATTTGCATATGTAAAAGTATACATTTTTATATAAAAAATATAAGTATAAAATACTGAAACTGTATACATATTCATACTTTCATAGATATTGGAGCACCTAACCCCACTCCTATCCTAAACCTACCCACACTTAACAGGCAAAATCACAGGTATGTGTTGTATAAATATTTATTTACAGTCATTTATTAATACTCCAATATCTAATTTCATCATGGTGATATTCGCATGCCCATCGCGTCTGTGTATAACGCCAAATGTTTCTAATTGAAAGCAATGGAGCACCCTGCATGTCGAAAAATGACGCTAAATGGGTACCCTGAGTGTTAAAAAGTGATGTTGAGGAATCCTGACAAAAGCGTCAAGATGGGAGTGAGAATGAGTTGGTCTTTTATTTATTTATTTATTTATTTTAGTTGCATTCAACTATATATTGGTAACGCATAAAATCTTAACCAAAGCTGGTCTCTGATTTTCTAAATGTGGTAAAAATCTTATGCATAAGAGATGAAGAGTCTACAGGTCATAGCCATTGGCTATTACTTTATACCTAATGGTTACCATGGAGATGTGCTCATAATGAGAATAACCCATTGATGAGGCTGTTGAGATATCTGTCCTGTGCCCAAGAGTTACTGAAATCGAGGAGCACTTGAGCTCTCTCTTGCTCTCAGGTCTTCTGTTCTTCCATTTTTCATCAATTGAATGTCGAGAGAATGACTAGAAGGTTGACTATTTCTGCCTTCTGTAAATCTCGCTCAGTCATTCTCGCTCACTTTTTCTATAGTTTTCCGCCATTGTTGCACATCAGAAGCACAGAACACAGCTCTTTCTTTCTTTTCATTCCTCCATTCTCACAACTCAAAGCCCTCATGGATGTCAGGCAGGGAGATCTATTCCTCGTTCTGCCTCAGCGGGGTGCCTTACATTGCTATAATTTTATCCCATTTCCTTGTAGCAT